TAGTTTTATTCATTTCAAACGGGCCGGATCCGGCCCGCGGGCCGTAGTTTGCCCATGGCTGCTCTAGAGAGTAAGGAATAAAGTTCCTGCCAAGAGCTCAGAGTATTCATAACTTCCTCATACACAAGGGAGAACACAGAATTCCTTTTCCCTGAGCGCACCAGAGGGGTGGTGACAGGTGCACACTGTTCAGGTGAGGCAGGTGGTAGAGGAGGTCTCTTCAGCCACAATTACTCGCAGTGACATCAATGAGGTAAGAGTCCTCAGCAAGTTAGCAAGTGCAATGCAGCTCCTTCAGGCCTCACTTGTACCTGTGGCCAATGAGGAATCTAGCAGAGTATATGTTCAGATAAAAGGCGTTTATATTCAGGTAAATGGGTCTGAGTCTCCTTAGTGTTGTAGAGTGAAAAAGATGAAAGATAAAACATTCTCTGCACATTTAGGGCTTTTCTCCAGCGTGACCTCTCAGATGTCTGAGGAGGCTCGGTTTGTAGCGAAAACATTTCCCACACTCACTGCACTCATGAGGCTTTTCCCCAGTGTGACTTCTGTGGTGGTCCACGAGCTTGGATTTCTGGCTGAAGGCCTTCCCACAATCGCGGCACTCATATGGCTTTTCTCCCGTGTGAGTTCTCTTGTGGTAAAGGAGGTGACTACCGCTCTTAAAAGATTTTCCACATTGACTACACTCATAAGGTTTCTCACCAGTGTGATGTCTCCTGTGTAGAGTAAGGGAATTGCCATGCCTGAAGGACTTTCCACAGTCACTACACTCAAACGGCTTTTCTCCGGTATGAACTCGGTGGTGTTGAATGAGGGTAAACTTTTGCCTAAAGGACTTCCCACAATCAGTACAATGAAAAGGCTTCTCACCAGTGTGAACTCGCTGGTGTTGGGTGAGGTGACAGCTTTGGTTGAAGGACTTTCCACAATCAGTGCACTCATAGGGCTTTTGTCCAGTGTGAAGTCTGAGGTGTATAGTAAAGCAGGACCTTTGATGGAAGACCTTCCCACAGTCACTACACTCATAAGAATTTTCCCTCCTGTGACCTCTCTGATGATACGTGAGAGCGGAGGATTGCCGGAAGGACTTTCCACAATCAGTACACGCATACGGCTTTTCTCCAGTGTGAAGTCTGTAGTGTTTAACAAAGGTTAACTTTTCTCTGAAGGCCTTCCCACAATCACTGCACACGAAAGGCTTCTCCCCAGCGTGAACCCTCTTGCGTTGACTGAGGTCAGAGCTCTGACTGAAGGCCTTCCCACAATCACTATCCTCATACGGGTTTTCTCCAGTGTGAACACTTCTATGTCGATTGAGGTTAAAGATACGGCTAAAAACTTTCCCACATCTATTACACTCATGACTGTTTTCTCCAGAGCAGACCGCCTGATGTTGTACAAATTTCCGTTTGTGGCTCCATTGGTGATGCCTTTTTCTATTGAGATATTCCTGTGAAATCTCACTGCCACTGTGTGGCTCCTCAGTGTCAAGACGGGCCTGGTGCTGGAGAAGCTCTGAGATGGCTGGCAAGTCTTCCCCAACCTCCCTACTGGATGAAGGCACCCAAGATCGGAAGTTGCACATGGTCACAAACGAGGCCCTGTGCACAGCTTTTTTCCAGGGCTTCTCTCCACTGGCTTCCCCCTGCTGCTGGTGAGGGTTTGCACTGAAACAGAAGTCTCTCACACGTGCGTCACTGAAGAAGGCTTTCGGCTCTAGGTATGCTGCCTGTGACTCAGTCAGGTGCAGAATGTCTTTTAACACAGAAAAGCACCACTTACACAGATGGGTGCTCTGGGTTGCTGGCTCTGTCTTAGGGACCCTGCCGTGTGACTCCTCTTGTTCAGATACACTCTGCTCACAACAGGCCTCCTCATCTGTTTTATGCCGACAACCTGCAAAGACAGAAATCCTGAGGTGTGTTGACTGTGGTGACAGGGGAAATCCCATTACAGAAGATGCACATAATACATGGGTTCCATGCAATTGTCCGAAAATAAGACAGGTGCAGGAAGGATCAAT